CGTCTAAGCTTTTGCCACAACTTGCGAAGTCCGCTTCAGCGCCCCGCCCCGTCCGCCCGGCCCTCCAGCTCAGGCCCGCCCGCCCGACCCGCCCGTTGGGGTCCGCCTGCGAGAGAGGCCAAACCTGAGTGCGCAGGCAGATGCTGCGAGGGGTCCCTGTGGGCCCGCACGCATCGGGTCGGGCGAGCTGGGGTGTCGGTACAAACCCCTCCCCCCCTAACGCAGCAAACCCATACCCTAACCTGACCCAGGCCCCAGCGACACTGCGCCAACGCTGACACAACCAGGGTCAATCCAAACCTGGGTCAGGTCAGGCCTTGTAGGACCCTGAAAGATCCTGCAGGCTCCTGCAGGATCCTGCAGGATCATGCACCCTACCCCGGGTCAATGCGACCCTGGCGCTGCAAGATCCGGCGCTCTGGCTAACCCCCGTTTGCATTGACCCCCGTCTCGTGAGCCCCGAAAAATTAACGTGACCAGCGGCCAAGGAAACACACGTGTGCCGCGCGCGCGGCGTAGCAAATGATGCACCAGCGTGGGGCGCCACGGCAACATGCCATGCAAACGTGCCAACTGTATCACTGATCCCTCCTCGGCTCCAATGAAGAATCTGGCCAGCGCTGAGGCGAGAGCAGCTTTCGCAATCGTGGATATGGCCGGCGCTGGGGCAAGAGCAACATTCGCAGCCATGGATGTGGTCCGCCCTGAGGCGAGAGAAACACTCGCAATCATGGATGAGGCCAGCGCTGAGGCGAGAGCAATTTTCGCAATAGCGGATATGGCCAGGCACCTGGGCGAGAGAAGCATTCGCAATATTTTCAAATAGATACGTGGCCCGCGCACAAGCGAGAACAACACGCTCAGTGAAGGATGTCGCCGGCGCGACGGCGACTGCATCATTTTGAATCAGAGATGTGGCCCACGCACAAGTGAGAACGACATGCTCAATGAAGGATGTCGCCGGCACCTATGCGAAAAGTACATGTTCACTCAGACCTGCGGCTGGCGCTAACGCGAGATAGATATGCTCAATGACGGATGTCGGCGGCGCTGAGGCGACAACAACATTTTCAATCACACATGTGGCCCGCGCACAAGCGAGAACAACACGCTCAGTGAAGGATGTCGCCGGCGCAAAGGCGACTGTAGAATTTCAATCAGAGATGTGGCCCACGCGAAAAACGAAAACGAAATGCTCAATGCAGGATGTCGCCGGCGCCTAGGCGACAATAACATTTTCAATCAGAGATATGGTCCACGTACGGGCCGGAGAAGCACTTTGAGGCAAAGCGTGCCGGCAGAATGCAGGTGTCATGCCCCTTCCGCGCGGGCCGGGCTCGGTGTCACCAAGGACCAGGTGACGATAGGCGGGCAGTCCACGTTAGGAGGGGATGTGAATGGGGAAACCGAAAGGTACCGATACCGCTACTCCCCGGGCCTCTCCCGGGGTGCGTTCTGACCAGAACTTCGAGGCGAATCCAGCGGTGGCGACGAGGGCCACCCAGGAGGCCGAAAAAAGGGAAAACGGGCGTGGGGTAGAAATTTCCTCCTCTGATTGAAGGGGAGGTTCGCGAGTCAGCTCCCGCAGCTGATTCTCCCAGCGCCCCCGGGCGCCGCCGCGAGGCGCGCCAGTGTGTCGAGGAATGGGGCCCAGCGGCAGGCCCGACACTGGCTGCATGCAGCAACGTGCGCACAGACACCCCCGTTGCCTAACCATCCGTTCCCTGAGCTCTGCCGTTGCCAGAAGACGAACAAAACACGTAAACATACACTTTTGGCGCTCCGCGCGGAATTCTTGGATCTGCTCTGGACCCCCCTCCCTGGCGCGCGGAGCGCGCCAGTGGCGGCGCCAGAGGCGCCGCCGGGGGGGGGGGCCGGCGCGGATCCAAGACATCCGCGCGGAGCGCCAAAAGTTTATGTTTAATTGTTTTTTGTTGTTTTCTTCGAGTTGCGCAAACATTGCAACACCGCAGAAAAGCACGACCGAAGCCCTAGCCTAGATCCAAAAGCTTGGCGCTGCACTTTGTCGAGCTGGATCGCTCTGTGATGGTCCCAGAGCCCGAGAGGCAAGCACGCCTGGTGTGAAGCAAACGCAGGGTCAGGATCTCAGGGTGCGCCCGACCCAGACAACAAGTCACTCCGGCGAAGGGTCACTCTCATGCGTGCGTGGCTGGACGACGGCGGCCGCAACGATGAGGGGGACCGTTGGGGCGGGGGCCAGCTCAGGGGGCATTCGGCGATGCATCGCCGATGCATCGGCGATGCCCCCGATGGCGAATCCGCACGCTCCTGGGCGGGGAGGGGCTATCGGGCCCCTGTCGGCGAGGAATCGGCGCGTTGGGGTCAATGCTTGCCCCTGCTCGAGGCTCGAGGCTCGAGGCTCGAGGCTCGAGGCTCGACAATCGATCGAGGACCGAGGCTCGAGGCTCGAGCGGTGGAGCGGTCGATCGTGGATCGAGGGCCGAGGGTCGATCGGCCGCGGATCGGGCATCGACGCCTC